AAACAGGTGACAGGCAAACACTAACAATTTACCTCAAGACTGACTTTAAACACTGAAGATAGAAAAGCAGAAATGTGAACTTTCAATTTTCACATGTTCAGACTTCTTCCATACACTCTCACTTTTCTGACCTCTCTGAAAGATAAAAGAGAATACTTGTTTCAATCCATTTTTTTCCATCCTAAAGAGAACAAGAAACTTATGGGAAAGAACCTGTTGCTGCCTAATCTACAATAAACATTATGGTATTGGAATTCACCTCAGCAGTGGGTAACAGGAAAAGCAAGGGAAGAAAGCTGAGTCACACACCTGGTCATTTCTCTCTACAACAGCAGCTATAATAATAATGATTTATTTTGGGACAAGTGTCATTTTGTGGGAGGGAAAAATGAAGTAAGAAATACAGAGAGTGAAAACAAAATCCAAGTCATTTAGCTTTATGACTAAAGCCTCAAAGATGTACAAACGTAATGGTGAATTCAGGTCACCATTACAGTCACAACATTCAGACCATGTTTTCTTTCAAAACTTGTGGTATTCAAGAACATTGCCAAGTAAAATCATGGATTATTATTTATCATCTCAGTATCAAGAAAATGTGACAAAACAGGGAAAAAATGCTCATACATCCCTTAGAAAATTTAAAATAGGTGACAACCTTGGTAGTGAAACCAAAAATAACACTTGGTAAGAAAGTGAACTAATTTAAGCCTCCAAGAAAAGGAGAAAAAGCCACCAGCATTCTTTTCATGTAAAGACCTTAGCTACTCTGGGGCACAAAAAACTTAGCCAATTCCCTGGCTTTAGACTACAGCTGTGTACCTACTGTCATGCTGATACAATGCCACTTGAAATATATTTGGCTAGCATATTTTGTGTGTGAACATAGAGAAGTTAAGTATTTGAAAATATGTAGCACCTCATTTTTCCCATGAACTTTTTTAAATTTTCCCATGTGCATAAAAATGAAAATACTGGTATGCCCAATTTTTTATTCTGCATTCGTTTAGTGCAAAGCACGTCATGGGAACAGTAGTTTAAAAGAATCTTTTTGCATAAAAATACTTCAATCAATTGAACAGATTCACAATTCTAAATTTACATTTACATAGAGTCTGCTATTGAATTGCACTTTGAAAAATGGATAAGAAACAGATCTCAAAGAAGAGAGGCAAGAAAAAAAATTGTCATCTTTCTCCTCCTGGTGTTGTCTTCCTTCTCCCTTTCCCATCATCATGCATTTCAACTAGGAATGTAAAACTTTTTCTAACTTTACGTACCCAAAACTGAAAAAGTACCTTCTGATTTTCCTCCATTACTTATTCTAGTTTACCTGAATTACTTTTTCATTATGGCATAATTAAAAATTTAGCATCTCTATTTCAAGATACGTGTCAGGTGTCCAACTGCAGGCACTCTGGCTACTGGAAGTTTGCCCATATTAAATGCCCATCATAACACAGGATGATTCAGAAACTATGCCATTAGTGTTCAGTCTCCCTCTTTCACTGACCAGACTTATAAGAAGTTTGAAATAGGTTCAGAAAAGCACAGGCCACGAACTTTAAATGAGAATGGTGGTCAAAGCATATAAATGTTTTGTTTCTGTACAGCGCAGAACTAAATCTTGGCACAACTGAGTACGTAAATTCACTGAGATTCACAGAATATTTCAGCCTGGCCTGAACAGCAGTTTCTAAGTATGCTGAGCAAACATTTGTATTCCAACCTCCTTTGAAAGGAAAATTAATTCAAAACAAGATGAGGACAGCCAGGCACCTTCAATGGCTCCAGAGCAAGAGTGTTCAACTTTCATACAAGGAGACTAGTTAAAAAACCCATATACTTCAAAGGTTCAAAGCCACATGTTCAACCCCTCAGGAAGTACCTTCAAAGAAATATTTTTCCTGTTTAACTTCTCTTAGTGCCAGAAACCAGTATGCACCCCAATCCTGTGCCCTCCCCAAAGCCATAATTTCACTTTATCAACTAAATATTAAAGCACTTCCCTCCAAAGCAAACCTGTAGCCCAGACTCAGCTCCAATTGCCTTTTAACAAAGAGCCCACAAACACCCAAACAAAGGTTGGGTCCTGGGATGTTTGGGGGAGACAAATGTCCTCTGAATCATTACACTAAATTGTACTTCCCTTTTGCTCTTCCCACCTTTACATGAAGTTCTTTGCCAAACCAGGCACAGCATCCCCACAGAAATCACAGAAACACAGATCACAGAAAATCCAGCCAGCATTATGGTGGTCAGGTTAGCAGAGAGATTTTTATCCTCCGAGACTACGAAGGAAACTTCAAACAGTAGTTGTTATATTCAAAGCAAGTATTGCGTTCAATTTTTTTTTTACATGGATTTTATTCCATCCTGAGAGAAGCTGCATAAAGTCATGGATGACTACAATCTCACAGACACCAACAAAGCTCTGTTACCTTAAATATTAATCATAAACAGCTACAACAGCATGGAACTCACCTCCCTATTTTGACTTTCAACTTTCTCAAGTTGATAGTTTCCAACACCATACCTATTTCTAAGCCTGGGTATATCTATAAGCAATGATTCTAGTAAAGGAGATACCAGAACTTCCTGTTATTTTTGGGTATTTCCCCTCCCATCCCCAAACATCTCCAATTATCTCAGACAGAGCACACAGCTTTCAAGAACATCAGCAGAAAGAAAATGGTTATCTTTATCAGAGCAGTCAAACAGCAGACTACTCTAAATTGCTATAGTGAAACTGATGACATTAATGCCATTTATTTGTGCAGGGAGATCAAAATGGAGGATAAGGTAAAACTGACTTAAACCACTGCTAAAAAGAACTAATATACTCTTTCATTACACGTGATATAAAACTACAGTGTACTTAACTAACTGAATTAAAAAAGGTCCAAGCCAAGCAAAAAAGTTTCTCAAGCTAAAATACAAATCTACTCTACTACCCTGCAGTATTTTGCACTGATTTAACTTGCAGCCCATTTAAATCAGCTCTCCAATGCTTCATGTCAGCAGGTGCACACAGAGCTGCCCAGCCTCAGGCAGACTTAGGTCTGACTCAGATCTCCAACTAACGCGCTACAGAAGCATTAGTGGGGCACTGCATCTTTTATAAACTTGGCCACCCAGAGCAGGTATTCACGGGTTCAGTTTCAGTATCACTTTGAGGCTGCAACATTGCTTCCTAGTCAGGAGCAAGATGCACAGGCATGTCATAAGTTCATTTTTCAACCAACTTAAAATAAGCCAGCTCAGTTTCTTTGACAAGGTAATGCCTTATATATTTATCTGTGCACACTTTTACACCTTTCCAGTTTCATCTTTTTTATCTTTATTTTCCCTATTAAATGCCTAATGACACAGTTCAAAAGAGATGCAGAGAATGGTCTGCATCAGAGACAGTTATTTGAGAAAAAAAGAAAAAAAAATCAAGCCAGGGCAGGGAAGACAGAGAATAAAAGGAGACTATGTATTCTGTCAGTGCTTTGACAGGCAGCTACCTACTCCTTTTACCTTTTATTTCTTTCTCTAAAACAAAGTCAACAGGCAGTGTCCCACTTTTTTTAGGTCTCTCTTTAAATCCTGTGGAATCACAATTTTCCCTTTCCTTAGCCTCTGAAGAGCAGCTTAATGAACACTCTCAAAGGTATACTGCTTAAGGTTGACACCAGGATTATTTCCACATTTCTTCACTGGCCACAGGAATACTTCCATGACTACTCTGTCTTCGTTAGAAATTACTATTTTTCTGCAATCTGTGTTTCACCCGAAGTCTTAATCCTCAGTGATGACTACTGTATCCACATGGTCATGATGTAATGAAGAAAAGCAAGCACTTCTGGAGGTAAAGAAAACATTACAAACCTTTCAAGATGTCTCTTAATAATCTCAAATAATTTATCAGTAAAATGTCTGCCCACATTTCAAACTGGAACATTATCTCAAAACACAATGCACTTCAAGAGAAGATAATGCTTTCTTCACTGACAACACTCCTGGGCCTTTCCAATTCCATGTTTAAAGCCATTAACTTCACTAAGAAAGGGTTTATATCACACCTTTTTGGCTGAAGAGAGTTCAGGGGAAATTAAGATTTACATTTACATTATTTACTGGAATAAATCTATCTAAAATAATTTCACAGTCCTATAATGAAAAAGTGAATAAAACTTTCATGTACTTGAACATACAAGCTTCCTAAGCAGGTGCAAAAACATATGCAACTGTCAGTATGTATATTGAAATGCAATGCAGAGATACAGCACACATGAACACTGTGAACATCACGGATGTCTAAAACGCCTATTTACCAGGCACATGCATTTACTCCGCAATGTCACCAATTACAGGCAGTTTTAGTAAGCGTGGTACTTGTGAGATGAGACCTTACCTTCTACCAAAATTCTACACACGCAAAGCATCTTTGCATCAATATTCAGCGCAACAGCGTGTCGGGGTTTGACATACACTCAGCTGCATTCGGTTACCCTGTTTGATCTCTTCCCTGGCCCGACAGCTAATTTAAATGATGAATTTTTTATCATGATGCAGGTAAATGAAGTTAAACCAGATAAACCAGGTTTTATACTAAAAGGTCTTTCAGCTTCAGCAGTGGCAGTAATCATCCCAGAGACAAGCCAAACCCAGGGCCGGGTGCAGGACTTCTCTGCAGCAGATGCCGCAGCCGGAGCCGGTGACACGGCAGCACCGGGGCCGTACAGTGCCCACAGCCTCCCGCAGCGCGTCCCCGTCAGCCGCCCACAGGCACCCAGAGCCACCGCAGGCACCCCAGCTGCCCTCACACCGGCCAGCGGCGGCGCGGCGGGAGAAAAGGGAGCGGAGCGGGAAGGGGGAGGCGGAAAGAACACAAAAAAGAGGGCGCTGGAGAAGGGGGCAGCCAGCTGTTCGGTGTTCGGGCACCTCCTCTCGCCGGCCGCGGTCGCAGACGGTCACCTCGGCAGCTCCTTTGTTCCCCTCCTCCCCGCACTCACCCACGGTGGCCAGGGTCTCCAGGTCCTCCAGCTTGTAGGCAGCGGGCTCGAGCGCGGCGGGCGAGCCGGGACCGGCGGGGCTGGGGGCCGGCACGGCGGGCTGAGGCGCGGCCACTCCCGCCGCCGCCGCCTCGCCGCCGCTCTTCGCCCCCATCTTGGCCTTGGCAGCGCTGAAGGCGTCCATGGGGCCGAGCGGGCGCCCCGCGGCCGCTCAGCGCATGGAGAAGGGCAGAAGGAAGAGGGAGGAGAGGGAGCGGCAGGGACGCAAAGTTTCAGTCTTCAGCAGGCGGGGTGGCTGCTCCCCAGGGCTGGAGCCCGCTGCCGCGTCTGAGGGGGCGCGCAGCCCTTCAGCATCGCGGCCACAAGCGCCGCGCCGCCCGCCGGTGCCCGCAGCAGGCAAGGACCGCCGCGCAGACAATGGCGAGGGTGCGCCCAGCCGCGCCACACGCGGGGCGGAGGGCGGGGTTTGCCGCTGCCGCTGCGGCACCGTCCCGCTGAGGGCTGGCGGGGCGGGGCCGGGCCGGGGGAAGCGCGGCCCCGCCGCACAGCGGGAGCGCGGCTCTCGCCCCTCGCCGCGGGCACGGCCCGGAAACGTGTGACAGCCCCGGTGCTCTCCGCTTGTCCTTCCCCACCCTGCGTCCCGCCCGAGGGGCAGCGCGGCTCGGCGGCGGGAAACGGGGTGGAGGGAAGTGCCGGCGGCTGCCGCGCCTGCCCTGCGCTCCCTCAGCGTTGCAGGGACACCTGGAACGGTCCCGTCCGCTCCCCGCAGAAAGTTAAAAATGAGCGGTGGAGCTCTTGCGAAGCGGCAGCCGGGGCCCCCTCGGCTGCACAGTAACAGCCCTGGGAGGAGCCGGTCTTTCCCCACGCGTGGGAGCGCGTTCGAGTGGCTCCCCCCGCACGTCCCAAAGGGGTTGTCACGCCTTATTTTACTCCACGTTTCCAAGCAGGTGTGGATTCCGCACCGGTCACAGCCCGTCAGCCTCCCCTGCTCCAGCCTGCAGGATGTTCGTGTGGCTGGGGATGGCTGGGGTTAGCCGACACCCGCCTCATACAGCAGCAGCAGCAGAGTACCGAATATAGCTCCTTCCAGAGCTGCCAAGAAGCTGTTGACGATTATGCTGAAAGACAAGGCAAATTGGTGTGTGAATCAAGTCACTGTAAAGCGCACACATCAAAACTGGGATTGAAATCCTCATTTTTTCCATGCCTTGTTGTGGCCCAGTTTTACCCTATTCACAGCTACTGCCCTATGCTCCCATGAGCTGAATATCTGCAAAGCTGATGTGTAAATCAAGTCACACGGGTGGCATTTGGCATCTCCTTTTTATTAAACGTGACATCATGAGAATTTAAGGCTTATTAGTTTCTGTGTGGAGTAGGTTCAATAATAATGACAAATAATTGTGTGTATAAAAAAAAACGGTACAGATAGATAAATTATTTATAAGACTTACAAATATATGTACATTTATCCTCAATTTTAAAGTATCCTTAGAGTTAAATTAATAGTTGTAATATCAGAGGATATAAAATACATTTTTATCTTTTAGCTTGTTGACATGAAGGGTTATGACTAATTCAGAAAATCATTAGGTCATCTCTGCTTCCTGTCAGCCTTTGAAAAGTCACCGGTCAAGGAGGATGGCATCACTTTTGCTCCAAAATTTCAGATTTCATCTGTTAACTCTTTGGAATGCAAGTTTTGCCCTTCTATTTTTCTTTACTACTTTACTGCTTTACTTTCCTTTCTGCTTCGTTACTGCGAGGTTGACTGAACATTAGAACAGGTCACCCAGAGAGGTTGTGGAATCTCCCTCACTGGAGATACTCAGAAACCATCTGGATGCAATGCTGTGCCACGTGCTCTGGGATGACCCTGCTAGAGCAGGGAGGTTGAACCAGGTGACCCACTGTGGTCCTTTCCCACCTTACCCAGTCTGTGACTATGTTCTGTACATTCTGTATCAGATTTACTGTGGTTTAGGCCTTGAATGATATATTTTGAAGAATCCTTAAACTGTCAATTGTAAATGTTCTAGCAAGCTGTAAATTTAACTTCTGTTTGGTCAAAAGGTAAACAAGCCAACAAAGCTCTTTAACAATAACTGAAAATTTTGTTTAAGATAGCAATTTGAAAAATACACATCAAAGCATTGAAAAAAATCTGAGTGTGTCTAAAAATCTAACTTTGTTTCTCTAGCTAAATAATTACAAATTGAGAAGAAAAGGTATAAACTGATTGTGCTAATTATTTTCAAGAGAGAGTTCTTTAACTTCGGTCTAGCCAAGAAAATTGATCTTTGATCTTCTTGAAACCTTTCCTTTTCAATAAAAACTACGAAATCATTCACTTCTCAGATGTTAAAAGGGGCATAAAGTATTTTACTTAAGATCTTGATTATCCTCAACTGATATTTCCATTTATGCTACAAATTTTACCTAGCGTTTAAATTACTTGCATCCAGGGCATTAAAACTTTCTTTTAAAGAGCCTCCTGCTGCCATGCTTCAACAGTTGGTGGCCTGTATGACAGCACCCATTCAAAAGAGTTGTGATTCAGCAAGGCTCCTAAGCACAGGATTAGTTTAATTCAATGCAGTGTCTGTTCTTAAGATTTAAGTTTGCTTCCTTCCTTTCCGTGCAAGGCATTTCCTAGTTCTTGTTGTAGCAACATAATTGCAGTGTTTATATTTAGAATGTCAACATGTTATTAGAGTGCTTTGTCACCTCTCTATAACCATCTCAGAATTTATCATGCAGATACTGATTATTATCCACAATACTTCAGGGAAAGAAAATGTTTTTTCTGCATACAATCAAAGCTCCTAACTTCATAAATTGCAAGTGGAAGTAGAGCTGCCACTAGATTGCAATAATGGATATGAAACATAGTTTCTTGCCCAATTTGGGCACAATTCATAGGCAAGCCTGCAACCCTATATTCCTATTTTCCTTCTTCTTTGCCTTTATTTTAACTTAAAATGTCACCTTTTGGTCACAGGCACTTTTTGAATAATCTTGGCTTTTCCCTTGCTCTTGATAATTCTTAGTTCTCAGGTTTTCACTTTCCCCACACATGCATTAAGTGCCTAATGCCAGGTTTCTTTATTGTAAAACAATTTTCCCCCTTTATTTTTCTAGTCCTTTACCTTACAGGTCCTTAAACCAATGGTTAGTTCTATTTCATTTTCTCTTAAAAGTTCCAGATATTAGAGATTAATCTTTCCAAAGAGAGTGAAGATCTTTTTAAAAGAGATTTTATTTAGGAAAAAAAAAACAAACCCAAAACCAGAGAACTGTAGTTTAAATGGTTTTCTCAATTCATTGTGAGGGCTTATTCTTCTATTTCAGTGACAAAAAATGTTCCATGTATTTATATTTCTTTATGAATTTAGAATTTTCAGGGACCAGAAGGGTTACAGGTGTCAGTTTGGTTGTTCCCTGTGGCCTTTCATATATGTGCATTTGCCAAACTTCAGCACATAGAACCATACTGGTAGTTAAATGTTTATTTGGGTCCTAAATTACTAACTTTCCTCCCATTCCTTCATTTTGGTTTGTAGGTTTGTTGTTTGGTTTTTAGTTTTTTGTTTTTGTTTTTGTTAGTTTTTTTTTTTTAATTTTCCCCCAGGAAACCTTTAGTTAACAATATTAAACCAATGTAAAGGATAACAAAACTTTCTACCGATCAGTGAATTGATATAGCAGATCATTTTTTTGTCATTTTAGGGGCACATTGTGGTACACATTCCATGCAAATGGAATATGATTTACGCACCTAACTCTCTGGGAGAGGAATCAGTCATTTAAATGTCTCCATGGCTGCAGACAAAAGTGTCTTTCCTGTAGTCTGAGAAGGTTGGCGTTTGTCTTCCTGAAAGCCTGCTTCTTTCTTCCCTGCAAATATATAATTTTCCATACAAATCTCGTTAAAGCATATATTTACCATCGCCATCACTGTAGTAAAACTACTACAACAAGTTAGCTGGAGAACCTGTTCAAACCTGTAAGGAGGAAATGGAGAAGTCCTTCAGTGGTGGTTATTACTAATAAATAGCTCCATATCATCTCCTTTAGTCACATTACATACGGTGCCTAAAAACGTGGGACTGCTCTGAGGAGGAAGAATAACTAGTAAAGATAATTAGTACTGGTATGTGTTTTTCATTTGTTTTGTTTTGCTAAAGAAGTTCATGATCAGGCAAGTCCTATGATGTAAACCAGCACCCTTTCGTGCAAAAAATCCTGGCCTGTGACAAAGGAAGGGGGAAATTATTCCACCCATCTGAAGCAGTTCCTTCATAGTATGGAAATAAGCCTATCTGTATAATGAGCAATCACACACCTTCATAAAGCAACTATCACACTTTTATTTGAATATGATTATGTTTAACATTTTTTTAAAAGCATTTAAATTATGATGAGTATAGTGGCAGTATCCAAATGAGAATTTAAATACAAAGAATTTAACGTTGTTGCCTGCATCCAAAACCGTGTTTCTGATGAATCTTGCTGAGCTGATTCCTTGCTTCGGAAATGCATTGGTGTAGCCAGTTCAAACATGGAAATGCTGTTACTAGGGTGTCTAGACTTTCTGCCCAGTCTGAGCAAGTTTGTGTCTAGCTTCTGCCAAAACTAGATTGAGATCTGGAAAAAAGATGTTGCTTTGCCTGCATTTGCTGAGGAACTTGTTCTGTTAAACATTATGAAGGTATATCTCACATACATGCAAAACTGCTACCCTCACAAAAGTAAGTTGTGACCAATTTTAATATTAAAAAAAACTGTTATAGGAACAGTGTCTTAGCTGATAGAAGACCCTGAAGTGCCAGCATGGTGGACAAGCTCTTTGATGTCTGGTGGTGATATTTGCTTCAGTTCAAAGATAGAATCAAGTAGCAATTCACTAGGACAACTTTTTGTTCATTCTTTTCCCCAGATAACTAGTTATGTCCCTTTGCACTGGCTTATCTCATTTTCAATACTCAGGATAGTATGCTGCTTATAGCAGTCACCCACAAAATGGGATATCCGGAATTTTTGCTCTTAATTGTATAAGAAGAGCTCTCATTCTAGCCTCCCTTCTTTAAGCTGCTGAATGCAATTGTAGGACATATTCTCCGATACTGTGCATTCCTACTTTACAAATGCTCCACATTTACTGTGTCAATGAAAGGATGTGTTTGTTACATTGCTGTGTGGAATTC